TTGGAGCCTGAAGAAAGGTCGGAACAGGCCAAGTTGCAGCATGAAGAAAAGTTGGAACAGGCCAGGTCGGAACAAGCCAAGTTGGAGCAGGAGGTTAGACTGAAAGAACTACAGGTAAGAGAGATAGAAGTCACCTTAACATCGGAGTTTAGATCAAAAGAAGTGGCATTAAGAGAGAAACTAGCTGCTTTTAACCCTGCCTACTGCTTCTTCCCTTGTTCGGGTTTGATGAATCCGATATGGGCCCGGGTCATTTAGGACTTTTGAGAAAATAGCAGGAAGAATGAGTGGCCAAAGGACCAGTGGGTGTCAGTGTTAGTTCTAAATTATATAGTAAGGCTCGTAGAAGGTTTATAACTGTTTAGACCAGACTGATGACTATGATAGCGTAAAGAATATCCTCACCTGCTTATGCTATCCGCCAGATGGATACCGGCCAGAAGTTTACGTAAACTAACCAAACCATTTTCCCACACCTTTGTTGAGGTTTGCTCAAGAAAAGCTTAGGTTTTTTAAGAAGTGGTTAGAGGCTACAGAGACCTCCACATTTCAGGATTTGTTAAATGTGGTAGTCCTGGAGGAGTGGAAGAGCAAGATACCATTTCACATCTTGACGCATGTGGAAGAGCGTGGAGAGGTTAATTTAGGGACGTGCGGCTGAGCTGGCTGATGCGTACGCCTTGCTGGTGGAGTCACTGTGCCGTAGGGAACGTGGTACTTTCCGACATGTTAGGTCCTCCTCTGATGATAACCTTGGGGGCGTGAGTGGTAGGTCGAAAGGTCCCACACCTACCCCCCCTGATGCAACCAAGTTTACTTGTTCTTACTGTAAAAACCCAGGCCATACGATCCAGACTTGTAAACACCCAAAGTGTCGAATTGCTAAAAGTAGTTCCCTGGATCCCAAATCCAAACCAATAGCAACCACCAATGTGGAAAGGCCCCATCAGGATCTCTTCTCTTCATTCACCTATGAGGGAAAAATTTCAATCATAGAGGGGTCTCGTTCTTTCCCTATTCGTATACTACGTGATACGGGCGCAGCACAATCTATCCTCCTGTTTAACGTCATTCCTGATATATCTACCGCATTTACTAATGAGAGTGTTCTAATTTCGGATCTCTCATCCCATTCTTCCTATCCTTTAGCTAAAGTGCACCTCCAATGTCCCTTGATTACTGGGGAAGTGCAAATAGCCATAAGGAAAGACCCAATGCCTGTGTGCGGCATTCATTTATTATTGGGTAATGACTTGGTAGGAGATCTAGTGGTTCCTAACATAAAGACAGTCGACTCTCCCTTACCTGTCAACTCCACCACTGACCTTAAAGAAACTATTCCTCATCTTTTCCCATCTTGTGCTGTCACCCGGTCACAGAGTGTGCGAAGTGGGCCCTCTTCATCTGAAACCACCTCCAATATCTTACTACCCACAGACAATCTGTACAATAAGACCATTAGTAGGGAGGAGCTCATTACAGCCCAACAATCTGATCCATCTTTGTTCAAACAGGTGATGAAAGACCCCAGTGTGGACCATTGTACATCTTCGGCTTACCACCCACCGTCCCAAGGTTGCTTGGAACGGTTCCATCAAAACTTTCAAGTCGATGCTAATAAACTATCTCCCCTCAACTATATAGTCCATACTCCTGATCGCAGAAAAGATTCACAACTTGTTCACATTAATCTCATGAAACTTTACCATTCCAGGCAGTCAGAGGAAGACATCCCAGAGGCTATAAGTCAACCTGTATTGCATACGGTTTTGTCAGGGCCGGAGCCGGAGACAGATGACATGGACCTATTGGAGAATTTAGACTTCCCTCTACCTAAAGAAAACCCTACTAACAGTCACATACTCAACAACTTGGATGAGTATTTTTCTGTTCTGAATCCATCTCAAGCAAAAGATCTCACTAAGTTATTATCAACATTTCCTAAAGTCACATCAGACCTCCCAGGGTTTTGCAATATGCTTAAACATGATATTAAGCTAATCTCAGATGATGTACAACCCATTAGGCAATCAGCCTATCGACTAAATCCACACAAAAAAGAGATTATGAAAAAGGAGGTAGATTTTTTGTTAAAACATAACTTAGCTGAGCCTAGTACCTCCCTGGGCTTCACCTTGCCTTCTCATTTCAAAACCCGATGGCACTTTTCGTTTCTGTACCGATTATAAGTAAAGTGAACCAGGTCACTGTCTCAGACTCCTACCCTTTACCTTTGATTGAGATATAATAGACAGCATAGGCTGTGCCAAATTTATCAATGCAGTGGACTTATTGAAAGGATATTATCAAGTGGGACTCACGGATAGGGCCACAAAATAATCACCGGCATTTATAACTCCATTTGGTCTTTTCAATATTTGGTTATGGCGTTTGGCTTTTCTACAATGCTCGGCCACATTCCAGAGGGCCATCAACTTCCTAATTCAGGACCTAGGTGGGACGTTCGCCTACCTGGATGACCTGGTGGTGGTGTCGGACAGCTGGGACGAACATCTGGTGCGTTTGGAGATACTGTTTGCACGACTGCAAGAGACTGGATTCACCATAAACCTGGCTAAATCTGCTTTTGGCCGGGCCTCTGTGATTTACCTGGGACACATCGTTGGGCATGGTATGGTGAGACCCAAGGATGCAAACGTTAGAGCCATCTTGTCCTTTCCCACTCCAAGGACGAGGAAGGAACTCATGCGCTTCCTGGGGATGTGCGGCTACTACCGTCGGTTCTGCAGTAACTTCTCCAGCGTGGCCGGACCCCTCACAGACCTTACCAGTTCTGCGGTCCCTTACATCTGGAACCAGAGGTGCGACCAGTCTTTCCACCGCCTCAAAGCCTTCCTTGCCTCCAAGCCTGTAGTCCACCCCCCTGACTACACCTCGCCCTTCCCTCTGCAAATCGACGCTAGTGGTGTCGGAGTGGGGGCTGTGCTCCTACAACCCGACCCAACCACTGAGTGTTCTTCACTTACTGTGGCATATTACTCGCCAAGTTTGAAAAAACATCAGACCAACTACTGGAAACCATAGAAGGAGGCCTTGGCTCTGGTGTTGGCAATAAAGAAGTTTGAATGTTACCTCAGTCTTGCCCACAAACAACCCTAGTCTTCACCGACCATAACCCACTGACGTTCATCCAAACCAACAAGACCTCCAACCAGCGAATCCTCCGCTGGGCTCTCCTCACCCAGCCCTATAATCTACAAGTCCGGCACATAAAGGGGGTCGACAACCTGATTGCAGACTCCTTATCCCGAGCTCCAGTGGAAATGCAGCAGCTACTCTCCAGACGCACCAGTTGATCACCTCCTTCGCGCCAGCGCTACGGAGGTCTTTGGAGGGGGGGTGTTACGAACCCCTCCACCCAGCACTACGAACCACGCCATCTATTGTCCTGATCTACCTACCCAGCACCCCGAGCAACGCCATCTAGGGACGAGACACGAGTATGACTCGTCTTAGTTACCACTCCGAGGTTTCCCTTCTCCCTATCCTGGTTGTTGCGTCACCTCCTCAGTCTTCTTTGTCAGCTCCAATTCGAGGAGAGAGGACTTGGCTCTGGGAAGTGACCACAGGATCATCTATACTCTAAACCTACGTGCAGTGACTACCTACCGTCTTCTACAATACTCAGCCTTACTCGTCAGCCATCTCAGCTCCTCACTTAAGTACTATTATCTTGTATTAATTTCCCCACGTCCACTTGCTTCGAGATTGTTTTATGTTTGTGTATATGCCATATACTGTTAATGTTTAGGTTAAGTTTGGTTAAGGGTAATTTATAAGCTGTGAATATTTTGTTAAAGAGTTTATGGTACTCTATTATATACAACGAAAGCTTCGCATCCTTTGTCTACCCTTTTATAGTCCGATTGTCTTTGTTTTTATTGTATTACCTGTTGGGATCTGGGTAGGCGTATAACTATATTCTAAATCCCCAACTTCGTAACAGACTATAATTTCCTTAACCCTTAGACCCCAGGTGATGTTCCAGAATGTCCGACCAGAGCGCCCCGGGTGACATTCCACAACGTCCACCTATTCCCGCCACTTTTTTTTTATTATTATTTTAGGAAAAGTTGATTTTTTGTTGATTTATCCCCACGCAGAGGGGTACTGCCAGCAGCACCCTAACCTGGGGCTTAAGGGTTAATACAATGTACTATCAACATTAAGCTGTCAGCACACAATAACTCACAGGGCAGACCAGCCATCAAAATAGTGCTTCTAACATCATGATAAACTGAAGATAGCCAGAACCTTGATGAACCTCAACTCTCACCTCAAATTTCAAAATTCCTCAAAATTTACTCATACAATGTCATAACCACTCGAACAAGACACTTCTTGACCCCTAACTTTCTCACTGCCCACTGCACTACCTCACTTGATAGTACCCTCTCAAACGCCTTCTCTACTCGTAAGTCTACAAATACAAAGTACAGCTCCTTTCTTTCCTTAGGTATTTCCCTTGAAGTTGCCTGACCATAAAAATTGCCTGTAGTTAGCCCTCTGCCTGTCATGAACCCAAACTGCAGAGTATATACATATATATCACTTGTCAATTTCTCAATCACTCTATCCACAACTTTCATAACTTGGTGTAACAGCTTCAAGTGATGTTCAAGTACATCACCTTTTCCTTTGTAAGCATTTACAATCACACTATTTAGCCATTAAGCTGTAACAATACATACCTTCCCTACATAAATCAATTCAGTTACCATCATCTAATGTTTTCAATGTTTCTGCAACTATTCCAGAGCTACAGCAGCTTTTCCGCTCCTCACCACCACAAATTCAGGTGAAATTAAAATGCCACTGCCAGATGACTTCCACGACTTAGGTGGATTCTTAAGTAGGTGCAAAATTCAGTTGTATCAAAAATCCTATTATATTTGTGGCTATAATAAATATTACAGACCAACATCATCTTGGTGCATAATCATTTCTTTGGTTATTCAGATTTTCAGCATGAAACTTACCAGAGATGGATCTTGAGCGTGATTTTGAAGGTGATATGACACTTAATCCACTATAACGGTTAGGTGAAGGTTCCCGAGAAGTGCCTGTGGAGCGTGGAATGCCACTTCTGCGGCGACTACGACCTAAAGTGCCAGAGTCTCCAGGTGATGCGTATGTAGCATAACTAAGTCGCGATGATGGAGATCCACTTCGGCTGCCAGCTGTATGGAGTTTTGGAAAAATTAAAACGTTAAAACAAAAGGAATTGTAAAATAGAGAAATATGAATCAACCTTTATGGTGCGATATTCTCACTTCTCAATTTATTCTAGGGTTACCAAATCTGATACTGTACCACGAAGAGCTGACTGTAGGAAATATAACCATAGAGCATAATTATGAGAAATGATAAAGACCCACTGAACAAGAGTGAAACCAATATGAAATACCGGAATAAGAATATTTGTGGAAGGGTGTCAAAAAAATAAATTCTGTATTAGCTACCCTCCTGTGTAGCTTGTACAGGTATCCTTGGTGGTGATGAATGTACTGCCCATATGGCTTATAAAACCCAAAATGAAGGTCAACATGAATCTTCTGAAATCTAGCTAATTGTACAGCAACTCACTACTTTTATACTTATGCCCTGACAGTTAATGTGGGAATTGTTGAGAATCAAATGATTTCCCCTTTCAACAATTATGTGAGAGATACATAAGCACATACGAAAGTTTGGGAGCAAATTTGTGTCAAAGAAGACACTGTGAGGGAGTTCACCAGGATGCAAAAAATCATGGCATTTATATATACAGTGATCCCTCGGTTAACGAAATTTCGGTCAACGAATTACCTTCCATAAGAATCTTCAATTCGGTTAACGAAAAAGATTTGGTTAACGAATTCCTTACGAATTCCTCTCAACATGTTTTCGCTTGCTCACCGGCTGGAATATTAGTCCGCCAATACAGTAATCTGTTCTAGGGCTTAAATTCGTTCCCATTTGAGTAAATATCAAGAAGATTGTACTATTCAATAATTTTCAAGTTTTATATTAAATTTTTTAGTCATTTTAACAATTATTTAACATAATTGAAGTACAGGAAACTAGTTTTTAGTGCGCCAAACAGCTACTTGACTCACCCAGCATGGTGTCGGTTTGTCTCTGCTCAGTGGAGGTAACATCTTGCTTGAGACTCTCTTGAACATAAACTATTTTTTACGTTTTTACAGTACAATTATTGGTCATTTTGAAATTTATTTTACATATTGACAATATATAGTGCAGTGCAGTGTTGATTTAAAGAAAATAATCTTGAATTACACCTAGTGAACTTAAAATTTTATGGGTGAAATGACGGCATGAAGCATGGGGTGATTTCTCTTCCACCCCCACTTCCTTCTCTTCTCCCTTCTCCTCCACCCCCACTTCTAATTCCCATCATCATCATCATCATCATCAACCAGGAGCCTTCTACATACACACCTCAAAGTAAGTGTACTTTATTGGATTTATTTTTAGTCTGTATGTAATTTTCGGTAAGCTGGAACCAATTACCCAAAATCCCATTGAAACAATGGTTTCGGTGAACGAAATTTTCGGTTAACGAATGACCTTCTGGAACAAATTGTGTTCGTTAACCGAGGGACCACTGTATCTCCACTTGAGGTCTCATTCATATACACTAATAAATAAAATAAACAATGGAACTAACCATATTTTTTTCTTAAAGATCTTAAAAAATATAGATTCTTCATAAGACATGGACATAAAGCTAATGCTGTACATAAGAAAACTTAAGATTCTATGTCAAGAAAAGTTAATTTGAGAAATATACAAATAAGTGATTTTTCCCTTGGAAAAATTTTGATTTTTATATAGTACAAAGTAAACACAAGGGCCAAAGGGTTTTCATATTCAGCCGAGATGGCAAATGACTTCAGCAATTTAGGGCAAATGTAAAAAGTTTCGGTGGATAAAAAAAAATAATAAAAAATAAAAAATATTGGGGATTACAAAATGGTGTCAGCCATAAAAGAGATAATGAACTTACCTGTAGAAATGTATATACTGTACAGTACAACA